GTGCCCACGTCCCCGTCAGGATCGTCGAGTCCGTTGTCGCCCCTTCCCTCGCTGCCGGATGGTCTGCCGACGCGTTCTCGGACGAGTTCCACGGCTGGCCAGAGCACGCGCGCGATGAAGGGTAAGGAGAGGACGCGAACTGTAAGCGACGCGGGACTGCTGAACCAGGCGTACCTGCCACCACCGGTCGAGGCGGAGATCATGGAGGCGAAGCACTCAGCGAAGCCGCTGGATGGAGCGACGTTGGCTGCACTGGCGAAGAAGTTTGCAGACTCGATTCCAGACGAGGAATTCAGCGTCGCGGCGCTGCAAGGCTGTGAGTGTTCCGATTGATTCGTGGACTCATCACCTGTTGCCCTTCCAATCCATTCGCCCCTCCGCCTCCCCACCCTTGACGACATGATGTCGCAGTGAATTTTTTCCTCGCGGGGATGGTGCGTGTGGTCGCTTGCATGACGAGTGTGCTGACCGTGCGCTGCTGGATGGTGCCGTTTGTCCACAGATCTGTTGAAGAACAAGTCGCGACCTGAGCATGCGGCGAACGAGGCAATTGCATGGGTGGAGAGCGAGCGGGCGATGAGGGAGAAGTTGAAGAAAGAGCGGGAGGCGCGCGAGCTCAAGGAGAAGCAGGAGGTCAGTTATCCGATTACTTATCCGATTACATCGATTATCATTCTGTTCCCCACCCCGGGCGCTCCTCCATCCCGGCATCCGCGCGGGCCGCGGTTGTCTGTCTGTCTTGTTCTTGTTCCGTGTCCGCGTTGTCGCGCTCTGTTGCTGACTTTGTTTTCTTGGACCTGCAGCGCGAACAGCGGAAGAAGGAGCTGCTCGAGAAGGAGAAGGAAGCGGCGGAGCTCAAGAAGCTCGAAGAGGCCGAGGCCGCGCGCAAGGCCGCCGAACAGGCCGCTGCTCTCCTCAGCCAGGCCTCCCTCCCGTCGCATCCCTTGCCAGTGCACACGCCTGGCGGGGAGCAGCCCGTGCAGCAGGTAGCTGAAATCGAGGCAGACAAGGAGAACTCGACTGCTGACGCGCCTGCCGAAGACGACTCGACGGACTCGGAGGACGACGACACGTGCGAGGACCAGCCCTCTGCTGCCGTGTCCCGGACAACTTGGGTCAGTGTTGGGCAGGAGGCATCGGCCTGACTGCTCGGCACGTCCAGCGTCGTGGTGACGGGAGGGCAGACGGGAACTGCAGGTGGTGGGCACCCGCGAGCCGCTGAAGTTTGCCACGACGAGGTTGACTGGGTCGAGTTCCGCGCTGTCGCAGTCGACGGGGACAAAGACGATCCGTCCGTGGCAGGCGGAACAGACGCTGCCAGTGCCGCTGGTGGACCACCTCCTGTGCGAGTGGATGAGACGGTGAAGGAGATGGCATTGGTCCGGCGGCAGGTGCATGGGGTAGCTGTGCTGCGAATGTTTCCACTGCTTGAGTTCTATCTGCTTCATGTGTATGTTCTGTTGCAGCTCGCTCTGTTTGGACGGTAGTGCGCGTTGGCGTGGACGATATTTGTGGTCTGCCTTGTGCTGACCTGGGGTGGTTACATTAGATCTTGGAGTCTGTCGCATACACTGTATCTAGTTGCATTGCTGTTATAATCTATCATCGACGGCGGAACGCGTCGGACCCCTGGCAGTGGGAGCGGGAGGCAGCTGGCGGTCGCCAATCAAGCGGGTGATGGGATGAGCCCCGCTGCCTGGAGACGCCCGGCGCTTGTAGTGGACTGTGCGCCGCCCGCCTCTGGCCACTGCCCGTGCCCCTTCCTTCTCTTCCTCTTCCTCTTCTTCCACCACCCCCGCTCAGGCTTAGCCGCCCCAGCCCCCGCCCCCGCCGCTCTTTTCACCCCTCGCCGCCCCATCTCTACTCACAATGGGTTGTGTCCAGTCCTCCGGCATCGACGATGAGGCCAAGGCCCGTAAGTACCACCCATCACTGCTCTCCATTCTCCTGACCCCTCCCCCGCCCGCTCCGTTGACATCCTACCCTGCGCGCAGGGAACGACGAGATCGAGAACCAGCTCAAGCGGGACCGCATGATGGCCAAGAATGAGATCAAGATGCTCCTTCTCGGTGCTGGAGAGTCGGGCAAGGTTCGTGTTCATCTTCGTCCCAAAAACGCGCCCGCTCACCCCGCTCACTGCCCATCAGTCTACTGTTCTCAAGCAGATGAAGCTCATCCACCATGGCGGTTACAACGAGCAAGAGCGGGACTCGTACAAGGAAATCATCTTTTCCAACACCATCCAGTCCATGCGGTACGTCGCGTTCCTTTTGCCCCCCTTTCCCCTCCCGCTGACAGATCAAACGCGCTCCCCAGTGCCATCCTGGACGCGATGCCGCACCTGGACATCCACCTCTCGCCCCAAAACGACGCTCGGCGCAACATCATCCTCTCTCTGCCTGGCCAGATTGAGGGCGACGTCATGCCGCGCGACGTTGCTGACGCCATCCGCGGTCTCTGGAGGGACCCCGGCGTGAAGGAGGCTGTTTCCCGCTCCCGCGAGTTCCAGCTCAACGACTCCGCCGTGTACTACTTCAATTCCATCGACCGCATGGCCGCCTCCAACTACATGCCCACGGATCAGGACATCCTCCGTTCCCGTGTAAAGACCACTGGTATCACCGAGACAACCTTCAAAGTCGGCGAGCTAACCTACAAGCTCTTTGATGTCGGTGGTCAGCGGTCAGAACGTAAGAAGTGGATCCATTGTTTCGAGAACGTCACTGCGCTCGTCTTCTTGGTCTCTTTGAGCGAGTACGACCAGATGCTGTATGAGGATGAGAGTGTGGTACGTCCCCACCGCTGTCACCTGTCAATCACTCCCAGTTTCATGATTCCATCATCAATCACAGAACCGTATGCAAGAGGCCCTCACCCTCTTCGACTCGATATGCAACTCAAGATGGTTTGTCAAGACGTCAATCGTAAGTGTCTCTCCCACGTCACCACTGGGCTCTCCAGCTTCATCACCGGCGTCCGGTATCTACCACGGTTGACTAACCTTCTGTTGCAGATCCTGTTCCTCAACAAGATTGATCTGTTCGCGGAGAAGCTGCCAAGGTCACCACTTGGCGACTACTTCCCCGACTACACCGGCGGCGATGACTACGACGCAGCATGCAACTATCTGCTCCACCGATTCGTGTCGCTCAACCAGAGTGCTGCGACCAAGCAGATCTATGCGCACTACACCTGCGCAACAGATACCCAGCAAATCAAGTGTACGTGTTGTCAAACTGTGTCGCAGTGAAGTGACTAAGTGCTGATCGTCTGTTGTGATGTTTGATCTTTCATGCGACACGCTCATCCTGTCGACCTGACTTCGCACGTCGCCACCTTTGACATTGCCTGTGCATTCCACTGCGCCGCGCGGCTGCGTCGTTGACCGTTTTCGCTCGGATCTTGCTCGGCGCGTTCCAACAGTCGTCTTGAGCGCTATCCAGGATATCCTCTTGCAGCTGCACCTCCGGGAATGTGGTCTCCTGTAATCCGGTTGAGGTTAGATGCTCAGTTGCGCGAATGGTTCTTTGCCGCATATGCTGCATCTCCGCCCCCTGACCGCCGTTGTTCCTTCTCACTATCGTCCTCTATCTCTCTCGCATCTGCATTCTCTTTTGTCATGTGTTCCATCAGCTCGTCCCGGCGTCCACGACTTCATCATGATCTCCCTCGCCTCGCCCCCGCGCGATTTGGTGGTGACGCGCTACGCCGGGCATCGCATCCACCACCGCATACTGTACATAGTTGGAAAATGTTTCGCGCCCAACCCGCCAGCATGGTCACCCCACGTCGCTCCTTCCATGCCCCACATGCCGCTGTGATCTCGAGCACACACCTCTGCCAGCTCGTTGCTGCATCCCTTCGCGATCCATGATGTCTAATCCCTTCACCTGCACCTCTTCTCTTCGCCTACTCCCGTTTCTCCTTTTGACATTTTCGTGGTTGTGCTCATGTCTGGATGTGTCTGGATCGCTTTGTTTTCTGTAATCATCTACGTAGCCCTTTACCCCCTTAGTTCTGTTTATCCTCTCTTCCGATTTTGCCGTTGTGTCTCCTTAGTTAGGTTGCTCCTCTCTCTCTCTCTCGTTCCGGCATAAACGGCACCCTTTTGATCAACTACTATACAGTCATAGTACGCACAATCTGTCTCTCCAATGCACATGGAGCCTCAGGCTGGGTAGTCCGCTCAATCTCAACCCCGCTCGCAATGAACGCTCGCGACATGGGCCTCACTGGGTTGTGTTTCGCATTTCAGTCAGTCCATTTCATTGTTCGGTTTCCACAGGACCTTGAACGCTGCATGACGTTCCGTGCCAGCCGACACCGTCCGTGTATTCAAGTCTAATAACCCACCAATTTCAGACGATGATCGATGGCCGTCAGTGTCTCTCCATCTGGCGACGCATCGCTCCAGGCCAACCCATCGAAGTCCCTGGGCCTGCGAGCTGCGAGCTGCCGGTGTCAGTTGCAACGCAACGATGAAACTCCCTAGAACACCCGACAATAGGTACCCGTGTGCTACGTTACCATACCTGATCGTGCGGCCTCCGTCGCAGCCTCCAGACGTCCAGCGGCAGAAGCAAGCTGCAAAAACTTCTAGCCAGCGCAAGTCAACTACGCCATTCAAAGAACGGACCACGGTTCGTCTTCCTCTTCCATTGACTAGCCTCGTGCTGCGCCGCCGTCCGCTCAATTACTCATGATTGACGGCTTCTCCCTCTAGATCCACAGCTCAGCCGCGGTGGTGAAACAAATTCGACCCATCTCCGGCGGATGCTTCTGCACCATCGCGATCGCTGTCGGAAGCAAGCTTACGGGTCGTACCACCATGATTGAGCTTTCCACCCAACAAAGCTCACGTCCGCTGCTCCGACGTCCACGCTAAATTCGAGTGCAGCAACTCGTTCGATGCCGCTCGCAAGCCAGAATTAAGCCGTTTCATATTTCTCCCATACGATCGGACTGTCCGTATGACCATTATTGAAGCGCAAAAATTACTCCGACACCAGCAGGATTTGAACCTGCGCTCGCAGAACGAAACAGATAATCGAGAAAATTCGAATCTGTCGCCTTAACCACTCGGCCATAGTGTCTTGGAAGAGAAGAAGGCGTTATTATGATGTCACATTTGCACACAATCAACCCAAACCAGTATTCCATCCATTGTTACATCGTCAACTACATAGATCGGCAGAATTTGTTATAACCCCTTCACAGCGGCAATGAACGCTTGTACACGCGCAGGATCTTTCGCAGACCCATCCTTCAACTCGACCCCACCGCTCACGTCAACGGCCCACGGATGGACGGTCTGCAGCACCTCCTGCACATTATCCGGAGTCAACCCGCCCGCAAGGATGATCGGGAGTTTCTCGCCACCCCCAACCTCGCCCTTGTCCACCACCGCCTTGGCGATCTCCAGGTCAACACGCGTGCCCGTTCCCCCGCTCAGCCCGTTCGCACTTCCCTTCGCCACCGCGTCGAGCAGGACATACTGGTGCGCGCCCGGGCGGGTGATACCCGTGAGCCCATGCCCCTCATCGTCGACATGGAAGACGCGGATCGTCGGGACGGGAAGGTGTCGCGCCCACTCGATGGGCTCGTTGCCGTGAAGCTGCACGAGGTCAAGCTCTGCGTCCTCAACTGCCTTGATGATCGTCTCCAGCGGCTGGTTCTGGAAGACCCCGACGACAAGAGGCCGTTTGAACGGATCCCTCGCCAGAGTCTCCGTCAGCCGGCGGGCGTGCAGGTTGAGCCAAGGCTCGTTCTTGAGCTCTTCCTCCACCGACACCTCAACGGCGGCGGGACGGTGGGATTGCTGGGCGCGGCGTGAGTGGATAGTGGCCGAGATCTCCTGCGCCCGCTCAAGTGAGACGTGCCGCTTGCTCGACGGGACGAACATGAGCCCGATCATGTCAGCGCCAGTTTCCATCGCGTGGACGGCCTCCTCGACCGTCCGTATACCGCAGATCTTGACGAGTGATGGGGCAGTCTCCACCGCCTTGCCCTTGGCGTCCTCGGCCTCGGGCCAGTCCAGGAGCTGGCGGATGAACGCCTTGGTGTCCTTTGCACGCATGAGGGCCTCTCCAACCAGGACCGCGTTGATGCCCTGCTCGGCGAACGTCCGCACATCCTCGGCGCCTTGGATGCCGCTGAGCGCACAGAGGATGACGTCGCGCTCACGAACCATGTCCACGAGGCGGGTCGTCGTCTGCATGTCGACCTGGAAGTCGTGCAGGTTCCGGTTGTTGACGCCGATGACCTTCGCGCCAAGAGCGAGGGCCGCCTCCATCTCGCGGGCGTTGTTGACCTCAACCAGGGGCTCCATCCCTAGCGACCGAGAGTACTCGTAGAGGGCGTGCAGGCGCGAGACGGGGAGCATAGCGACGATGAGCAGCACGCTATCCGCACCGTGCAGACGCGCCTCCGCGATCTGGTACTCGTCAAAGATGAAGTCCTTGCGGAGCACAGCGGGACGATGGGGCAGCGAGTCGATCGCCTGCCGAACCAGGCGCATATCGAGGAGCGTGCCCTTGAACCAAGTCGGCTCCGTGAGCACCGAGATAACAGACGCGCCCGCGAGGGCGTACGACAACGCCTGCTGTGCAGCGTTCGTCGACATCGCAATGGGACCCTTGGACGGGCTCGCGCGCTTGATCTCCGCCATGAGCGCGGGCTTCTTCGGGGCCTGCTTGAGGCGGGAAACGAAGGACACCGCCGGGGGCGCGATGTTGAGGTTGAGGAGCGTCTCGAGGTCCTCCGGTGTCGTGCCCAGGGTCTGTTTCGCGAGCTCGACGTCCTTGATCCGCTGCGCGTATATCTTCTCGAGAATGGTAGGAATTTTCGTGTTGGACGCACCGGGCGTGGCGTTTCCGTTGGGGACCTTGTCGGCAATGCCCTCAAGGCCGAAGGCGGGAAGTGCCTCTTCGGAGACGCGGTATGCCGGATTGAGGTCCCAAGTACCGCCGCGGAGGGCCAGGAAGTTCTTGAAGAGGGTGTCGCCGCTCTCGGACAGGACGCTCTCTGGGTGGTACTGAACAGCTTCTAGGGTGTACTTGCGATGGCGGACCCCCATGATGACGCCACTGTCTTGCGTGATAGCAGTGACCGCAAGTTCGGCAGGGAGGCTGCTGGTGCTCGCACTGAGCGAATGGTAACGGGTGGACTTGATGCCTTGGGGAATGTTCTTGAAACATCCCCGTCCGTCGTGACGGATGGGGCTGACCTTCCCGTGCTTGATCTCGCCCGCAAAGCTGCGAAGGAGGGTGTCAGCATGCAGAGATGTACACGCGAGTAAGATGAGGATCAACACGGTAGGTAGCTCATTCGGCATAGCACTCTGGACGCAAATCGTCCGACTACAAGCTGCAGTAAACACCCTCGAACATCCGCCATGCACGATTCCCCTCAACGAGCACCGCGGAAACGACGGCGGACGTAAGGATTCTGCCCACCCCCTCCGCCCAAGAGAGCATGCAAGCGAGCAAAGTCTATAACCAGCAAGGAGATATAGAGGATGAATTCCTAAATGTGTAGGAAGGCAAGAGCTCTGCGTAATTCGACCACCAGCATAGCCTTGCATCCGTTGTGCTAAACTCCACGCTCAAAGAAGGCATGGAGCATGGAGCATTTCAAACAGCAGAATCCATGCAAACTGACGGAACCTGTCTCAAGACAAGCTGCCCCGCTTTCCGCCGAGCCTGGGCCCCGCGAGCAGAAAAGCCAAAAGCGCGTTTGCCATTCAAGAACGACAGAACAGTTCGCATCCTTCTGTGAAGCACGCAGGATCTTCGGGGCACGAGCAGGCCCCCGCATAGCAGCAGATCAGGCCTTCACGCGAGGATACGCCCTTCTGATCTCTGCGCGACTACACGCGCACAACTCCTGCAGAAGGGGGCACACCTCTGCGTCCATTCTCCATTCCCTTCGGGCCTCTCCAAGCGCGCATCGAACGCACCAAAACGGAAGACTCACCCAATCTGCCCGCCAAAGACGTCGACTAAGCACTCGAGGCCCATGCACACGCCCAGGATGGGCACCTTGCCGGTGAAGTACCTGATCGCCTCGCGCGAGATGCCCGAGTCCGTGATCGGGTGCCCTGGCCCGGGGGAGATGATGAGCGAGTTGAGCTTGAGGAGCGGGAACGCCGCGGGGGTAATCGCGTCGTTGCGGATCACCGTCACGTCCGCGCCGAGGAGGCAGAGCGACTGGTAGATGTTCCAGGTGAAGGAATCGAAGTTGTCGATGAGCAGCACGTCGAGCGGGCGCGTCAGCTCGAGCGGGAGGACGTGGGCCATCTTGCGGTCTATGGTCTGCGAAGGAGATGGAGATGGAGATGGATGAGCGTCGCTGTGTGCTGGCAGGTACTAGTAGGCCGCCACCGCACGAAGAGAGGCGAGGAGGAGGTAAGGATCGAGACTATAGGGAGACGATCTGTTGACCGCGAGAGATATATGTATGCCGGATCGGGAGGCGTTCAAGCTGGCAAGCGGCCTGTTCGTCGGAGAAAGACCAGCGCGGCGCGCGCAGATGGGTGGAAGGGCGGGGAGATGAACAGATGTCCGAGACGGAGGTGAGGTCGAGGAGCAAGGTCGGAGGGCCTCTGAGTCTCCATCTCGACTCTGAGTCAGTAAGCAGTCGACATCTTTTATGACCCTAACCCTAGTATCCCCGCACTCGGAGGCCGGCCACAACACATCGCGATGGATAGAAGTCAGAAAGAGCTGCGTGTTGCAACTCGGCGAAGCTTAAAGGTAACCTACATAATTGTACTATACAAGACGGCGCACTCGCCGCACCAGGCTCGGAGCGCCAGCCCGCGCGCAAACGTCACCGGGCAGCAAAGTAAAGACCCTCCACCGCCACATTCGCCTGCCAGATCCCTACTCTCCTCGCCAACCGCAGCACCGCCGGGAGGGGCAGGACCAGCGCTGCCGATATGGGGAATAGGACGATGAAGAACAGAAACATGAGCACGGTGATTCCGGGCTTGATGACCAGGAAGTAGAACAGAGCCTGGTAGCTCGTGGGGTCCGTGAACATGGCGTACGCGTTCCTGTAGAACGACGTCTCCTGCACGGTCGCGCTCGCGGGCACGCCCGCCTCTATTTGCGCTGGGGTTGGCGGGCGCGTGCGGAGGAAGATGGGGAGTGGGGGGCTGGGAAGCGGATATGCTAGGGGACCGTGAAATGTTGTCTGCAGCGCGAGCTCGCCGCGCGAGAGGAGACGGGCCCCGAATAGGTCTATGAAGCAGAACACGGCGCCCAGGGGTAGCGCCATGAGGGTGCATGTGCCGACCTACGATAACGCGGAGAGAGGTCAGCATTGCGTCAACGATCTGTGGTACCGTGCCTGTGCCGTAAAGCACAACGCAGACTGAAGGGAAGAGGACGCACCAAAGTGAAGACAAAGAGGAATAACCACGAGAAGAGCGCGTAGGGGAAGTTGAGCAGCAGGATGTGGAAGAGTGCAGAATAGTACGCTCTCCTCCTGAGCGGGCGGAAGTACCTCCGCCAGCGGGCTGCAAAGGAGAGCTGCTGGTGCCTCTGCAATTGGCGTTGCGCGTAGCCAGAAAGCTCAGCGGCGAACGCCCTCTGGGCGGGGTCATAGTCACGCACGATGGGACTTTGAGATGGGCTCTCAAGATCAGGCTCGGGCTCGTCGTGTTCCGGACCATCCTCCTCACGGCAGTCCGGGTCGAGGTCGGAATCGCGCTCCGGTTGGAAGGCAGAGAAGACGGTGTGGGCGAAGGAAGGAGCAAGGGATGCGGAGGATCTCAAGGTGCTGGTGAGGGAGAGAGTGCGGCGGCGGCGTATGGTACCAGGATGGAGAGGGGGACGGGGAGAGTTGGGGTTGGGGCTAAGAAGAGGGGTGGTCTCGGAGGCATCGCCATCATCTGGTGGGCCTTCTTGGCACTGGAGGGGAGGGGATAGGGTGTCGTATTCGTCTGAAGGAGCCTGCGGGTGAGAGTGTTCACTGCTGTCGAGGAGGGCACGGCGCCTGCGAGTCTGTCGGGTGCGGCGTGCTGAGGGGTAAGGGGGTGGTGGATCCTCTGGAGGGGAGGTATTGAGGACCAAAGCGGGAGCTGAGGGGT